CATGAGGTCGGTGTGCTACCAGATGAAGGAGGCCTACAGCAGTCGGCAGGAGTGTGGCCCTTGGGACCGTTTCAAACAAAGCGCAACGCGATTTTTCATGCGACTTATTATCTTGCGGTCCTAAGACGAGTCTTGCCCCTCACGCCGCGCAGACTGGAAACTTTAGAGCCTCCGGCTCAGTCCGCCGACATTGTCCTCTCCCTTTTCTCCTTCTTCCTCTCTTCCTTGTCTCCCTTGTGTGTTCTGTCGTCCTCTCTCCCTCCCTCTGCTCCCATCCTCCCCATCCCCCCAAGCCTCTCTCTCCCCACTCTCCCTCTCTCGTATGTATGTATGCATGCATGTACATATGTATGTATGTATGTAATGTATGTATGTATGTAATGTATGTATGTATGTATGTATGTATGTATGTATGTATGTATGTATGTATGTATGTATGTATGTATGTATGTATGTATGTATGTATGTATGTATGTATGTATGTATGTATGTATGTATGTATGTATGTATGTATGTATGTATGTATGTATGTATGTATGTAATGTATGTATGTATGTATGTATGTATGTATGTATGTATGTATGTATGTATGTATGTATGTATGTATGTATGTATGTATGTATGTATGTATGTATGTATGTATGTATGTATGTATGTATGTATGTATGTATGTATGTATGTATGTATGTATGTATGTATGTATGTATGTATGTATGTATGTATGTATGTATGTATGTGTATGTATGTATGTATGTATGTATGTATGTATGTATGTATGTATGTATGTATGTATGTATGTATGTATGTATGTATGTATGTATGTATGTATGTATGTATGTATGTATGTATGTATGTATGTATGTATGTATGTATGTATGTATGTATGTATGTATGTATGTATGTATGTATGTATGTATGTATGTAATGTATGTGTATGTATGTAGGTTGTATGTATGTATGCATGTATGTATGTATGTACGTATGTATGTATGTATGTATGTATGTATGTATGTATGTATGTATGTATGTATGTATGTATGTATGTATGTATGTATGTATGTATGTATGTATGTATGTATGTATGTATGTATGTATGTATGTATGTATGTATGTATGTATGTATGTATGTATGTATGTATGTATGTATGTATGTATGTATGTATGTATGTATGTATGTATGTATGTATGTATGTATGTATGTATGTATGTATGTATGTATGTATGTATGTATGTATGTATGTATGTATGTATGTATGTATGTATGTATGTATGTATGTATGTATGTATGTATGTATGTAATGTATGTATGTATGTATGTATGTATGTATGTATGTATGTATGTATGTATGTATGTATGTATGTATGTATGTAATGTATGTATGTAATGTAATGTAATGTAATGTAATGTAATGTAATGTAATGTAATGTAATGTAATGTAATGTAATGTATGTAATGTAATGTAATGTAATGTAATGTAATGTAATGTAATGTATGTATGTAATGTAATGTATGTATGTATGTATGTAATGTAATGTAATGTAATGTAATGTAATGTAATGTATGTATGTATGTATGTATGTATGTATGTATGTATGTATGTATGTAATGTAAGCAAGTAAGCAAGTAAGTAAGTAAGTATGTATGTATGTATGCATGTATGTATGTATGTACGTATGTATGTAATGTATGTATGTATGTATGTAATGTATGTATGTATGTACGTATGTATGTATGTATGTAATGTATGTATGTATGTATGTATGTATGTATGTATGTATGTATGTATGTATGTATGTATGTATGTATGTATGTATGTATGTATGTATGTATGTATGTATGTATGTATGTATGTATGTATGTATGTATGTATGTATGTATGTATGTATGTATGTATGTATGTATGTATGTATGTATGTATGTATGTATGTATGTATGTATGTATGTATGTATGTATGTATGTATGTATGTATGTATGTATGTATGTATGTATGTATGTATATGTATGTATGTATGTATGTATGTATGTATGTATGTATGTGTATGTATGTATGTATGTATGTATGTATGTATGTATGTATGTAATGTAATGTAATGTAATGTAATGTAATGTATGTATGTATGTATGTATGTATGTATGTATGTATGTATGTATGTATGTATGTATGTATGTATGTATGTATGTATGTATGTATGTATGTATGTATGTATGTATGTATGTATGTATGTATGTATGTATGTATGTATGTATGTATGTATGTATGTATGTATGTAATGTATGTATGTATGTATGTATGTATGTATGTATGTATGTATGTATGTATGTATGTATGTATGTATGTATGTATGTAATGTATGTATGTATGTATGTATGTATGTATGTATGTATGTATGTATGTATGTATGTATGTATGTATGTATGTATGTATGTATGTATGTATGTATGTATGTATGTATGTATGTATGTATGTATGTATGTATGTATGTATGTATGTATGTATGTATGTATGTATGTATGTATGTATGTATGTATGTAGGTATGTATGTATGTATGTATGTATGTATGTATGTATGTATGTATGTAATATGTATGTATGTATGTAATGTATGTGTGTATGTATGTATGTATGTATGTATGTATGTATGTATGTATGTATGTATGTATGTATGTATGTATGTATGTATGTATGTATGTATGTATGTATGTATGTATGTATGTATGTATGTATGTATGTATGTATGTATGTATGTATGTATGTAATGTATGTATGTATGTATGTATGTATGTATGTCTGTAAGCATGCATGTATGTATGTATGTATGCATGTATGTATGTATGCATGTATGCATGTATGTATGTAAGTAATGTAAGTAAGTAAGTAAGTAAGTAAGTAAGTAAGTAAGTAAGTAAGTAAGTAAGTAAGTAAGTAAGTAAGTAATGTAATGCATGTAATGTATGTACGTATGTATGTATGTGCATGCATGCATGCATGCATGCATGCTTACATACATGTATGCATGTATGTATGTATGTAATGTATGTATGTATGTAATGTCATGTAATGTCATGTAATGTCATGTAATGTAATGTAATGTAATGTACTGTATGTATGTATGTATGTATGTATGTATCCTTGCACTTCCCCTTTGCTCCCCAGTATTTCCCGCAAAAAAACACGGTTTTTCCAGCGTTTTCGCAAAGAGGACGTCCAAAAACATTGAGTTTTTCCAGATTTTCGGCAAAAGGATGCAGGAAGCCCAAGCCAGCAAAAAAGCCGGCAGGGGGAATCGAGCCTGGGACCCCTGTTTTGCGACACCGGCTCCCCGAAGACTACGTTTAGTGGAACGTCATCAAATTGCCGCGCGGTACGTGGGGGACCCCCCCCCCCCAAAAAACCTACGTAATAGACGTCGGGCGGGGGGGGGTTAGGGGGGGGGTTATCCTCTATCCTCTAGTAAGTATCCGACACGCCGAGCAATGTCGGCGGATAAGTGGAAAGGGGGTCTTTGATCTTCTTGTGGTCAACAGGCGAAGCTGAGGGGTGTGCCCTCCAGGGGTTATCATTTTTTGTAGTTGGATCTGAGCCACAGCGGCCCAGCCGATCTAAGGCCTAAGGATGACGTCCCATGCATTTGGAAATTATTCTCTTCAGAAACCGCTCATCACTGCGGGAATCACTGCGTTTCAGCAACACCACGCACGCTAATTCAACTCCCAACCGCATAAACGAACGATTTTGTGTTTTGCTTTGCTTTGGGCATTTTCGGTAGACCCTTCGCCTTTCCGAGCTGAGGAAGGTGACCATGATGCACAAAGACATGCTCACGGCGACTCGGCGTTCATTTCCTCCAGCCTCCAAGCTTCAACACGTCAAATCCACGTGTTTCTCATGAGAGGAACGGCAGATGCATAGGGGTCCATTTTTGTCAGTGTGGTCAGACAATTGTGACACTGGTTTAGATGGGCGTTATCTCATTTGCCGGCCAGCCACCTATGGTGAGCATGAGACAACCACAACCTCCAAGGTTGGTTGTGGCATTTTCAGCTAGCCAGAAGTTGCGACAATTGAATTGAGATTCCTTTTGCTGCTGTTTTGGGGGGAGATGTAACCACGCCTGACTCAACTATCGATCGTTTTTGCCCAGGCCCAAATATATCCTCAATTGTTGCCGAGTAGACTCAGCATGCCGGGTTGAGGGAACTCTTAGGTAGTTCACTCCCGCACAGGTACTGGATGTTCTGTTTGAGCCTGTTATTTCAGTGCCCTACCCGGGTACCCAGACACTGCGAAGAACACCTGGCGCGATCTCAAAAGAAATCCGCAGGAGGTCCCCTGCTTCCGATTCCAAAGGCTTCATGGCCTTGGTTACCTGGGATTCATTGACACAACACTCGGAGTGGAGGCTCACCTGCAACCAAGCGATTCGACCGGATCTGACCTTTTGGTTTCCCCAGCTTGGTTCATTTTTTGTCATGGCCCCAAAAGATGATCACTTTTTGGGGCAACTGAGGAGGGGAGATTTTATTGATTCGTCCAGATCCCTACTTCAGTCCCCGCATCATCATCAACCAACATCATCAACATCAGCAGCATCATCACCATGCGCAGGACTGTGAGGACCTGGATCTGCTCTGAACCATCAAATCTTCCAGAGATGGGACAGTGGTCCCTATAATGTCCTCGATGTTTGTTTTAAACATAACCTTTTGTCCAGGTGAGTTTCCCACCCCCGCCTCAGGCTGAACGCACGGAACAGCTGAAAAAGCGCGGGGCCCCGTAGACGGCAAGCCGAGCTTTTCAGCGTCAAATGACATTGTGGATGAACGAAAAACACCAGCTGAAATAGGTGGTTTGCCCGAAGCTCTTCATTTCGTGGGGTGAAGTCCATTTGTTTCAGGTGCGTAATTGTGTCCAGGTGTTACGTGGGTCTCCTTTGTGTTCCCTTTGGGTTGCTTGTGGAAGTGTTGGTAGCCAGGTTGGTTGGCCAGAAAAAGCACAGGTCAGCTGGATTAGTGTTTCTGTCTCAAAGGGCGTGCCTCAAAATAGCATATGGGACCCCCCTCAACAAACAGGGCGCGCCCAGAAGTTCATCAAGACAATGCCACGACATTTGTGTGATTGCAATTGCCACACCAAATTGAATCAAAACGGCCATCATTTTGAGGTATAGGGCTAGCAGGGACATTGAAATCGCCCAGTTTTTCTCACAAAAGCCGTGCCCAGCGGCTGGGAAAAGCCACAAGTGACCAGCAATTGTCCTCTTCGTTTTGAAAGGGTGGGAAACCTTCTGGTTTCCTACAAAACCAGGCAAACGGAAGCGGAATGAATCACTGGAATGGATGACAGGGGAGCCCGTTGACAGGTTCGGATGGTCTTTCAAACTCGCCAGGTTTGCCCAGGGCGAAGTGAACGTCTTGGTGTGCACTGACCTGGTGCAACGGGGCCTCGACCTGCCCAACTGCGAGTCGCGGGCCAAGCGCTCGCTCTGTGTTTGGACGAGTTGGAGGTTGCCTTTTCTTGGCGGTTCAACCAGCAAGTCGTTTGGTTCCTTATGTTTTGAGGTTTTTAGCTGGTTTAGAGTTTTTTTTTCAACCACTAAAGGCTGATGATTTAGCAGGTGATCTGAGGGCAGCCCAGTGTTGAGGTTGGTTTTCCTGGCTGTTCGGTGGCACCCTTCAAATCCCTCTTTGCTTGGTGTGTTTGTTTGTTTCCCACTATTTAGAGGTTCCAAATTCTGATCTCCTTGTGTTTCCAGGCCCCTAAACGGCAACTGAGTTAAAGGGAAACCAAAAGAACAACCCAACTCCGTCTTTGAGAGTATCTTAGGTTGGTTTCAATTGAATAACGATATTCATGGGGTCCCAAATTTTGTGTTGACACGTTGAAGCTGGGGCTGGCTGGCACGCCTGGATTCTTTGAGTCACTGTTTTTGGAGGCTGCCTTTTCGGGAAGCGAAAGGGAACGAAGATGTTGGAAGTAGGAATCCCCCGATGTTGAGACACCCTACCGTGGACAGAATCTTGCACCAGCTGAGATGGATGAACCCACCTACCAACTGGTGCAAGATTTCGCCCATCCACTGTATGTGGAAGGTTTGTGCCAGAAATCAATTGCCTGTGGGTCAAAATGAACCCACCAGAATAACCGCAGGTTTTAGTCCTTGTTTCCATTTAGCAGGGTTTCATTTTGGGGGTACTTGGATCCTCAAACTTCCCAGAGCAATTGGCTATTGCCCCACACCTATGGAGTAAGTTCGCCTTTTTTTGGCAGTTTGAGGGTCCAGGTACCTGATTTTTGACCCGCACAACTCGCAAGACGTCAGTTCACGTCCACGTCACGCCAAGGCACGTGGTGAACTTTGACTTCCCGCTGAACTCCATCGACCCGCCCTCAGCACGCTCAGGTTTTCGCCCAGGTCTTGAACTGGAAGAGTTCGGGCCCAGTTGTTGCTTTACTTGGATGTTCAACGGACTTGGTGAGTGTGTTATAATCAAGGCTTTAACTGGGGGAACTGGGGGTTGGTTGGCTTATTATCATAGTCATAGCCTACTTAGTAAGCAGGTTGAACATCCAACTCAGGTATGACTCGCAGTTGGGGACTCTTGAACATCATGTCCGTGTGTCCACCAACCATTGAGGGTGTTCCAAGACTTGCAAGCACGTGTTTTTTTTGTTACTTCTTTTTTTTTCCGGATGGGCTCCCTTTGGTTTCAGGCAGAGTTCAGCCCATCCCTCCGAGCGGATCCTGGTGCGATCAGTGGGTTCAAAGGAAGGGGCCTCTCAGGCCGCAAAATGCAAGTCCTCTTCTCCAAGCCGCTGGTTCCATGTCTTGGCACTTCCCAGCTGTTCTTCGGTTTTCAGTTTTTGGTTGGTTAAGTGGGGGGGTCCATTTAAACCGGCAACAGTTAAAGTCTTAGCAGGGGATCCGAGGTTCCATCTAACCTTGGCCATGCTAAGCCCCCTTTTTTCACTGGCCTGAATGGAACAAGTATGCAAGAATCTTCAGCCCCAAAGATGAGGAGGACCATCAGAGAGTTGCAGCTGATCATTCTCTTAGCCAAGGTAGGGAACAGCATGTGTATGCGATCAGGGAACCCCCAGAATCATGCTGCTTTGGCAGCTACGCTGCTTATATGGGTGTTGCTTCGAGGGTGCCCCCTTCTTATGATGTGAAAGGGACACCAAAAGGAAATCCAGACCCGCTTGCAGAACGTCCTTCCAGAGCAGCGTATGGAGGAGTGTCCCTTAAAGATTACCTTGTTGGACACATGTCACATGATGCTTGTTTCGCAGACTCGCCATGAAAACAAGAAGCCGAGATTAGCAAGTTAGCACATGCGTTGTGGCTCACACTTTTCCTTGCAAAAGTCTCCTGCGCAAACTGTACCTGTAGGTTATGCTAACTGATTGTTACTCGCTAGAATTATGGGTGTGCCTTGAAATAGGGGAGCCTGGCTTTTCTTTTGATTCCCCCTTTAAACCCCACCACAAAGGACAGATCTATGTGTTGCTTTCCTTGAGCCGAACCCCAGGTGTCGGACTTCGTTGGGTTCATGTTGAGCGCGCCCTTCTGCCATTCCGACGCGCTCCATGGTGTCCAGTCACGCTCCTTTGCGAAAAACAACAAATACTGCGCGGACGTCCCGTATTTGTTGAAGCACCCATTCAAGATTCAGTTTGTGTTCCTTGAGGGGACGAATATCTTGGCATAGCCAGAGAGGACACCCAGAGAGTCTGTGAGGCATTGTCCCAAAATGCTGATCACTCCACCATTCACATGAACAACAGAGAGAAAACCACAACGAAAAGCATACTCTCCATGTGCACCATGAATTCAGAACAAGCTACTGTTCATTGAACCCTGGAAAAAACAGACTTATCGGTTAGTAAACAAGCGACCAGGGGAAAACAAAGACAGGCCAAACTCGCACCAAATGACCCGGCGACAGAGGCCCCCCGCCAATTCGCGCCACATTATCTTCCCTTGTTGCCGCCGATGTCGCCATGGGCTCGGCTGAGCAGATTAAGACGTGGCTTGGAAAGGGAAGGGGCCACCGGGAGATGCGGCCTATTCTTGTCCATTCTGGGCCCTCTTTGCCATGTGGAAGGTTACTCGGGTATCCATTTACCAGTGGCATCCATAGATGTGTTGCCAGGATGGGATCCAGTTTGTTGTTCGGCACTCCGGAAGTTAAGAACAAATATTTCTGTGTGTTTTGGGATTCATGTTGCCTGTTGGTTTCTTCGCGAAGCAGCGATGGGAAGTAGAGTTTGGATCCCTCTGGCACGATAGACGCTGGGCGTTGGGGGCTAGGTGCCGCACGAGGGATGGCTTCGTAATTAGTCACGCACAAGAGGTTGGGCCAACCACAAATGCTTGTCACTTGCGACCCGTCGGCGAAACCAATGAAGCTGGGAAGGGGGTTTTCCACACTGTGATACCTTTGCAGAGATTCCCTTTACCTGCATAGCAGCTAGTAACAAAGGGACCGACCCACCCTCCAAAATTAAGAAAACACTTGTTGGTTTCCTACTATGGTGGTGACTGGAGTCCACTGGGTTTGGCAAACCTTCCCAAAGAGTCGTTTTGAAGGCCTTTGGGGTACAGTAGAAAGGCAAGTCCCGCTGCCAATTCGTCGGTTTTTTGTGGTTTCCTCTACCAAACAAAAAACACATCGGCCGATTCATTGTCTAACCGAACCCTGCGAGCTCACCTTTGAGGAGAGAAGCGGCCAAGTTGACTTGAGTTTCCTTTGGTCATATGGCTGTGGGTCAAAACCAATGGTACCATTTTGGGATAGGTGCGCCACCCATTTTAGGACCTATTTTAGTGGGGATTGGGATGTTCGCTGGGGGTACGATTTGGCTTTTGACCCATGGCCATATTTGCCGAGAATTTTCCACCGACTGCCGAAGGATGGACGCGTGGCCGGCCGGCGCGAGCGCGGAGCTGCTGCCGCCCTGCGGCAGCATCCACCTCCACGGTGGCAAGGCCGGCGTCAAGGACGACAGCTTTGCGCCTCGCTTCGCCTTGGGGGCTCAATCACAGACCTATCCCATGACTCCAAAGTGGGTTCTAAAGTAACTCCCCGAACATGCGGGTTTTAGGGATGATAGCTAGGGCCGAATCGTGACACGCCTTATGATCCCAGGACAATCATGGCTCCAGGGAGGCTTCTGACCCCCAAGGACCATAAGATCTCAACGAATCGGATTTTGCGGGCGGTCAACGTCCACGGAGCTTTGAAGCTGATTCTTTCTTTTTTACTCTTTGAGCTTCCTTTGGCAGGCGGCTGAAAAGGTGCTGGCCCATTTGGTGAGCTTCGAAGCAAATCAGGATATAAAAACCCGGCATTTTGACAGTAGCAGCATTCGGGAGGTATCGTTTTCAAGCTGTTGTTTTTTCCTCGGTCGTGCAAGCGCCGCGAAAGCTTCGCGAAAGGGTTTCTCATTTGCGTATTCGCGAAAGCTTCGCGAAAGGGCTACGTTTCGGCTTTTTTTGGTAGTTTTTTTGCACGGGCGGAAGCGAAAGCGAGAACTTCAAACCCCATTTCTGCTCCGCGGAAGCTTTCGACGCTTTTTTTCTTCGGCCGCAACAAGGTTCTTGGAACACTGCTCAACTTTCAAGGCTCTTGGATACCCGGGGTAGGTCCCTGAAGGCTCCTGAAGCTTGGTCTACAGGGGATACCAAGTGCTCCGAATTCGTTTCGTTTCGGATCGGATTTCGCCGAGGATCGCTTTCGGAAGAACTTTGTGGAGCAGGGCAAGAAGGCTCTCCCCTACTTCTTCGCGCGAGTGAACATCGCCATTGTCAGAGCCACGGCCCGGAATTCCACCGAGTTCCTGCCTTCCCCTTTTTTTGGGGAGGGGCTGTGCACCAAATCAGCTTCCCCTTACTTGGTGGTGAGCATTTCCTTTTTGTTTCTCTTTTTCGGGAAGTTCTTCATTCCACCAACGCCCTTCCAAACCACCAGGCGCCAAATGGTGGGAAGTCTCTGGGTTGCCGACATGAATTCCCAGACCCCCAGGTTTCCGGGTTGCCAACCCCCTTACACCCAAAAGGCCACCTGTCTGGGAACTCGAAGATCGACGTGGAACCTAAGAAAGTCCATCCTTGAGGAATCTGATTTCGGGAAATGGAGCCCCCGCGTTGGGGGGTCCATCTTTCTTTGCCCTTTTTCCAACATGGAACTGCTTCCGGAGCTTATCCAAAGCCTTTCTTTGGAGGTCCGTCGGGCAATCACGGAAATTATTGTGAACCCTTGGAGCAGAACTGGAATTGTGTGGTGCTGCCTTCCATCTTGTGACTTGAAGGATTGACTTAAGCCAAACTGGTGAAGGATGTTTGCGACCGGCAAGGAGTTTTGGACTAGCACGGTAAAAAGGGAGCTTCCCAGAATCGAAGAATCACCGAGAGGGGGTTTGCTCTAGTGCAGTCATAGTGAAGGTACCGGGGAAGCACAACGAGGACTTATTTGCGTGGTTTCCCTTGCCGCAATGACTGGGCGGTACTAGCGCCTATGTATGTTTTCAATAGATGTTTTTGGAAGCTGAGTTCGCGTGTTTGAACATCCTAGAGTCGGAAGAGCCAAGACGTCCAAATTAGATTCCATGCGGTTCTGGCTCACTTGATTGTTCACTCGAACTATTAGAACCTCAAGCCATCAACCCACAGCCTTTCTTGGGTGGTGAGGTTATAGGCTGAAGCCAGTTATGCTTTCTGTCCTGTTTCTTTCCTAGAATGCCAACCTGCTGCTCTTTGTCGGTCCTTTCAATCACCCAGTTTATCTTATGTGTGTTTCGCCTGCTTTTTTAGCCGTGTTTCCCAAAAAAGCGGTCACATTTTTCCGTTCCGGGTTCTTTGGGCAGAACAACTCCCTGGTAAGATGCAAGCTGGCCCCCCTTGGGGCGCGAAAGCGTCACCGAGGCTGCGGCTTCCGACCAGACGTGTTCTGGCAGGAGCGCCTTCGTCTGAAGCGGGTGGTGCCCCTGGAAAACGTCAAAACCCCAAAGAGGGTTGGACCCTCAAACTATCAAAAAGGTAAGCCACCCCACAGGCAAACGCCCCCTTTTTCAAGGTGAGGGTCCAGGTACCCGTTTCTCACTTGCCCAGAGGCAAGCTTTTGAGCATTGTCCGGTTTGTGTCATGGCCCCAAAAGATGATCGCCTTTCTATTTATGGGACAACTGAGTTTAAGACAGGACCAAACAGAGGTTGGCGGATAAAACGCGGGGCAGGTGAGGTGCAACTCTCCAGAAAGTGACCGGATTCCCTTCCTGTTGCCCCATCATGTTGGTACAGCACAAGACAATCAGGCCAGGGGTCGAGATTCCTGGAGATGTTCCTGCTTAGATCAAAGTATTTCGGGTGGCAGCTACAAACGGACCACAGCCACACAGAGGTCACAGAGCACAGACACATGACACATACACAGGCAGCTTTGGCTCCCGGCTGTTCGCCCCACAAAGCTGGGCGGGACCAAGTTGGAAGCTGCTCGAAGGTACGGGTGTTCCTCAAATTACAGGCCCTCCAACAATCATGGAAGCTGACAGGAGGGGTTTGGAAACCTGCGTTGCTTTTGGGGACCCCCCCCCCTCCACTTGAATGATTGTTGGGAAGAAGAACCAACAGTCCAACCACCTGATGGAATTTGTCCCCTTGAGAGCATATCTTATGCTTTTGAGGTCTTTTGAGTAGGGCTAGTTGGGGGCCGCGCGGGGCGTGTGCGTCAAAACGAGAACTGTTGAGTGCGCTTGAGCTCCAATTGGCGAATTGGAGGCGTGTGCTTTTGATGAGACTACCGTCCCTCCAATTTTCATGGAAGTGGTGATTGGTGGAGGGTGCCCGTTTCAAGGTTGGTTAAACGGCTCGAAGACAACCACCAAGTCGAGTGCGCGTTCGGATTGCTGCGGGAAAAGTTGACCAGTGGTACCCTTCTTGGGTGCCCTGCCTATCAGCGCACTATTTTCAGCTACTCCAGCTCCAACCATGGTTGCAACCACTCACAAGCTTGGTTGAACACCCAAGTTTGTCACAGGGTTTCCTCAATCCCAACTGATTCAGGATTTGTTCCACAGTATCGACATCATGGGAGGTGAGGTACTCAGGAAATGGAGTTGCTGAATATTGATACTCTATGGCTGGGTCCTTGTTAGGTGGTTGTCCGCTGTCCAACCGGAACTAGGTTCAGGGGGGGACCGGTATCCCTTATAATCGTGGCTGTTTCGTAGCGGCCGATTTAGATTGGATTTAGTAGGTGGATACACTACCTAGCTTAATCAGGATGAGAGGAACGCCTATATATATAATATATATTATTCGATGTGTGCCTTTAGAACCGTACTCGAACCAACCGTCAGTTCGTACCCCGTTTAGGTGTGACAAGAGCAGCCTGCTGAGTTCTATCACCCAGGCCCCCAAGAGTATGTGCAAGATGGAGATCACCCTAGTTGTTCAGCGGCACTGTTCGGTCGGTTTCCCCGATAGAAGTGGTCAACACACAACAGATGGTGTCAATTATGTCTTCTACTTGTCGGATCGCTGAACCAACTGCACCCACAGCAAACAGATGTGTGGTATGAATCTAGGCATGGCGGCTTTCCCCACACTAGCTGAAACAAGGGCCTCAACAAAAAGGCTCAAATGGGCACGCGCCTTTGAGTTGTGCCCTTACTGAGGTTGAACCAGGAAAACCAAGATCCTTTTTCCGGGCCCCTTGAAACACACACCCACATGGACATCGAGGTTAGGCAACGTCACGGAGGTGTCGATCCAGACCAGGGAGGATGCCGAACCTTGATTTGCTAATTTTTACGTCTCGACGTCTCGTTGCAATCGCCGCGATTTGATTAACATCCTTATATTTGGGCGTGCCGTTCTTTGAGGATACCTCTTTTGGAGTGGTTTTAAAGGGAAGCAAAAAGGACACTGACCAGTTTTTGGGTGTCCTCAAACGAAAATATATTCCCATGGAATTTTCGGCTGATTTAAATATCAGATCACCCATTTCCCGTTTCAGCTCCTTCAGACATCACCGTTCAGATGAGCCAAGTAGGATATGTTTTCGCAAAAAGGTTGCAACTTCGAGGTGTTCCTTTCAAAGCCAGAAATTTGACAAAGTGACCCATTCGTCTTGGAGCACAGCCCTGCCAGTTGCAGTGGAATTGGTTCGGACAAAGCGTGGCTCTTGCCCGCTGTAGCTCACCAAGCCCTATCGAGACCAAGCCCAGTTACCCCAGTTGGTTGAATACTAAAGTATTTGGAGACATCCAGATATGTCCTGTCTTTGTCTTTTGCACATTGGGGATTCCCCAGCATCGCTGGCGAACGGATCTGTTTAAAGGCTTGACTCACCACGTCGGACGTGACTGCCGTATTCCGCACGGGAGGTTCCAGCCTATAGTTGAGTTGGCGCACCTTACATCTTTGTTACGGGGAAGAATGGAAATTTCGGATCGAGTTAGACCACTGGTTGAGCTTGATTGGGGGTGTCCTCTTTTAGTGGGGATTCATCACGTTTGGAGAAACATTTCTCCGGTCCCATTACAAGGTCGGCACCTCAAGTTGCGCCTACCTCAAAGGCTGGGAAGGATTTGCATGAGATGTGTTGTAGGATATCGAATGATAGAAACATCCTCTCGAAGCTCGACTTCGGGGTTTGGGTCAAGGCTATCATGTACCTTGGTTGTGCAAAGGCAACCGGATCTTGCTGTGTGGTTTCCAGCGTGACCGCAGGGTCAATTCCGAGACCAGGGCAAGTGGTGGGTGTCAAAATGATGATCATAAAACACATGCTGGAGCAACGGAAGTACACCTACTACTTCCTCCAAAGAAGTTGGATCGCACATATTTATTTCCACGCATGTGTACAACTCCCTTCTTGCAACCTAGTAGTGGTTACGTAAGGCTGTTTAACCACAACATTGATTGAATGGGGAAAGGGGAGATTCAGAGCCGCAAGGGGAGCCTTGTGAATGTGGCCTTTAGTCCTTCTAGTCAGCCCCTAATAGTCACTATTGCGGCGGACGGATGTGATTATCATACTGTGGACGGACGAAATGCACTGTGAAACCACTGTTTGCCGGTATTTACAGGGGGAATCATCATTCCAGGATTTCTTAGGTGGTGCGAACTGGATTTCGCAACCCGCCAACACTAGCACATTTGATCATATGTGGCTCTATCCCGTTTTGTGAAATATACTTCCAGTGCTACTGTGGATGAACGAAATCCTGCACCACCTAAGAAGTCCTGGTTGCTGTTGATTCCCCTGCAGAATCCCACAACCATGGCCAGGTCCCCCTTTTCCCCTTTCTTTGGGGAGGGGTCCCCTACTAAAATAGACTACAGAAGAAGACAAACACATCGGGAACCCTTATTCTATCCGCTCTACTGGAGGACCTAGCTGGTTCTCATGGTTTCAAGGAGGATTTCGTCCACATGGCTATGGCTCTGGACTGAGATCCGAGGACTCCCCGCAGCTGGTGGCTGTCATCGACGCGGCCCAGTGCGTGTGGTTCACCGGCAGCTTGCTTCGCAAGGGCTGTGGACAAATTCCGGCAGCTGGCAAGTGGTGTATTTTGGCATTTACCAGTGTTCCATCCCTCCCAGCTGGTGCAGGATTGTGCCCACCCACTGGTTGCTGCTTGGAAGGGATCCGGACTTTGGGTATACAAATGGTAGCTTTTGACGAGCCATTCCGGGGCGACCAAGAGTTCTGTAATTGGTAAATAGGTTGCGGAAGACGAGGAGAGAACAAACGGAAGCCACCCAGTTATGTATACCCAAAATGGGCGGCGGGGGGAGGTGGTTCTGTTTTGAGGTACCGTGTCGTCTCGGGGTTAATGGCATGGGCGTGGCCAATGTCCGACATGTCTCACCTTGCAGCTTTTGGAGAATGAGCTTCCTTCCATTTGTGGAAATTGACCGTTGCACCAGTGAACCAGGGCATTGGTTTTTGTAACGGGGATGCAACATACAGGGAGCGAGGGGACAGTGACCCGGGGCAAGGGAGGTCTTTACGCTGTTGGGTCATTTTAGAATGAGTTTCCTTCTGGTAAGGTGATGTGTTAGGTGGTGGCGCCCAAAAGCCGCCGGGACTGTTGTCACTTTTCAGACTTGGTCGTGCCTTGAAAGACTTGTCGGCAGCGCTTGGGGCCTACAAGCGCCGTTACCATGTTTTACGGGGTTGTGTAAGTGTGAAATCCAACAGTGCGTGGACAGTTTTCACGTACAGATTAGCTGCCACTCAGCACAAGCTATAGCAGCCTGAAAGTGCTAGCTAGTCACTATTAGTGACTATTGTATGTTTTATTTTAATATTGTCTGACATAAATCTACATTCATGCGGATGACCATTGTTGAATGGCAGGCTTCTGCAATGGATCACTCACTCTTGCACTTTTTGCAAGAACCCTCCTTGCGAAGTGAGTACTCTCAATCCCATCTGACTCCATGTCGAGGATTCTTAGCAGGGCCTTTCAACGGGGAAGTGCATCGCGAATTCAGGCGTCCGCGCAACTCCAGGATCCCTGGTTGATCTTTTCACGATCTTGCTGAAAGCATTAACATGTGCCATGGTCAAAAGACCTGCTACTTGGGGTTAGTATGGATGGCGATGGGGCCTTGAGTGTGAAATGGAGAGAACCAATTGAGAGAACCGCTAGAAAGAGAGAACCATTAGATAACCCCACTTTCCCCAGATACCCCAGATGGTTGCAACCTTCCCTGAGTTTGGTTAAACACCCAGCTTGCTTGCCCCCCGCTTGCCAATCGCAGCAAGCCGCAGGCGGGGACCAGTCCCGGTTCCGTGGCTTGCTGCACGGCTCGCAGCTCCAAACATCGCTGCAGCGCCTTTTGAAGCGCAGCGGCGCCCTCGGCGGTGCTGCGGCCGGGGCGTCTTTGCTGTGCGCCTCGGTAGCGTGGCGATCTGGTGTTGATTTCTTGGTTTGTTGCTTGGCCGTTTGTTTGTTTGTTTGCTTGCTTGGTTAGTTGTTTGTGCGTTTGGGTGCTCTGTTGTTTGTTTATTTGTTTGTTTGCTTTGTTTGTGAGTATGTTGGTTTGAGTCTGAGTCTGCGTCTGCATCTGCGTCTGCATCTGCGTCTGCATCTGCGTCTGCATCTGCGTCTGCATCTGCGTCTGCGTCTGCGTGTGTGTCTGTGTTTGTGTCTCTGTGTCTTTGTGTCTCTGTGTGTGTGTGTGTGTGTGTCAGTGTCTGTGTCTGTGCGTGTGTGCGTGTGCGTGCGTACGTGCGTGCGTGCGTGCGCGCACGCGCGAGTGTGTTGGGGTCTTTTGTTGCTTAGTGTTTGTGTATATATATATATATATATGTATACCTGTGTCTTGTTGTCTTATTGATGTGTCTCGGTATGTGTGTTGGGTGATGTTATTTAGGTGTCCTGCTGTTTTCTTTGATTTGTTTCCGTGTTGCGTTCTTCTGTGTGTGTGTGTGTGTTTTCTCATTGGTTCACTGGCTTGGTTCCCTTTCTGCCCGCGAATCTACAAGGAGCCCCGCTTCAGGCCTAGATCTTGTGGCTGGCACGACTTGATTTGCCTCAGAAGCCTTAAGTCTACCCATGATTTGCCCACTCCTTGGTTCTTCCTTACATGTATGTGCATTCTAACTATCCCCATAGATGTTTCCTCCCCATGTTTTGGCTTCCGTCTTGTCTTCCTTTGGTGTCCGCCTTGGTCTCACGAATTTTGAGGCGCCATCTGCCCCAACTTCGACGAGATCTTCGAGGGCCTCGACCTCCTTCGAGGTGCCAATCGGCGGTTCCCGGCCGCCCGGTTCCTGAGGTTTAGTAGGGGTTCGTGGGGGCGTCCAGTTAAAAGAACGAGAAGTTAGCGTTTGGCGGGTCTGCAAAACGGACAGCCCAGCTTTAAAATGAGTGTCTTCTGGAGTGCGTTTGCTAGGGGAAAAGAGAGCCGGAATCAGGCAGTCCAGTGGCCATCCCAAGGTGCTTTTCTTAAACTTTTAAAGTCCAACAAGGTGCCGACGTGTAACTTGAGCTAAGTTCCCATGAGCCTTGGCTTCTTGTCTGTGGCGATATCCACCTTTCCAGCTAAAAAGAAAGCAGTAGTGGCGCCTCAGGGTGTACCAAGTAGGTTCTGGGTGCTCGGAAACATTCCCCGCCGTGAAGCCCCGAAGCCACCCCCCGTCAATCTCGCACCTCTATATGAGTGCACGTATCTTGTTTTAGGTACCTCAAAATCACAGTTTCCTTTCCTTTCCCTTTAAATTTGCAACTTAAAGGGGGGGCCCACCACTTTATACTTCCCCTTTTCGTGTTTGACCTGTTTTGATGCTTCTTGTGATTGCCAAGCATGGTCCGATCATCCGACTTGGGCCCCCATCCGACTTCTTGGAGGCCTATGATTTATCTAAGTTTAAGGGCAACATTGCCCTGAAACTTAGATAGCCTATGAAGGTGTACGGTTTCTTTACTTGCTTCTGGGTCCCGACCATTTTGGTGCCGATCGGTTTTCATTGTCACTCAGGTGGCTTTTGGGTTGTACGGTTTAAGTGTTGGTTCTTTACGGTGCGCAGACTGTTCCTGTGGGTCAGGCGCCTGTGTGCTGACGCATCTGCTTCGCAAAGGTCGACAGCAGCGTTTAGCGGAGCGGGTTGCCGAAAGGGGCGGGGGAAGATGGGTGTGCCTCCAAGAATGCCGATGAATGAAGCAACCTGCTGGAAGATGGTTGTCCCCCCAGAAAATGACAGATTCCCTCTTTGAGTGGGACACCCTCTTGTGCATCAGCCAGATATTTTGTTAATGTTGAAACGCATGTGGAAACATGAACTGTGTTTGCAATGCTTGACCATAATGGCGCATGCCATTTTGGCTCAAGCTTTGCCCTGGGTTCTTTGAACCCAATTTGCGTGAAAAAGATTTGAGTTTGAACACCCCCGAACTAACCCCGATCAAGCAATGGCTTCCTCGGCAACCTCGGCAACCTCCTTCGAGCTGATTGAGGACCAGACGCTCACCGCGGAGGAGGTGGAAATGGCCAGCCAGGAGGCCCAGGAAATTCGCACACGCGAGGCGGCAGTGGCGGCCGGCCTGGTGTTGGACGAGCCCGAGGCCCCCCCATCGGCTTCGGCTACCGACGTGATGAACGACCTCTCCAGTGCACTGGAGCGCCTCCGTGTGGCGTTTGCCACACCGACTTCCGGCTTGGGTGCCCCTGGCCCTGCCGAGGAGGAGGACAAGGACATGGAAGATGCGGACGCCACGGAGCGGGCTACTCCACTGGAAGAGGCACAGACACCACCCACGAAGAGGCTGAAGGGTTTCGTGGCGGCTTCCCAGAAGACCTGAACAAACCGGTCTCCCTGGTGCCGGTGGAGGGCCGTCCCGGCTACTTCAAGTTAGTGGACCTCCCAGACCTTTTCCCGGTCCTTCCGGCATCGGCGGCCACGTTGCTGAGGGACGTCACGGTGGAGGAGGCGGTCTCCCTGTTCCACAAGTTTGTCGGGAAGAATCTCACGGAGGACCTGGTGATTCGTATCCTGGAGGCCTATGTTCCGATGAAGATCCAGATCCGGCAGGAGGAGGTCTGGGCCTCACAGTTCCAGAGGAACAAGGCGTGCATTGGCACCCAGCGGATGCACAGACTCGATGCAGGCCACTCAGATTACAAGTTCATGTGCAAAGCATGCGGCACGGGGTGGCCGGAGGCAGCCAAGCAGTGCTGGGTCTGCCCAGGCAAGGAGTTCGTCCCCTTCCAGGCACCCTCGGCTACCTATGAGGCGGACGGCATCACTTACAACCTGCTCATTGTGGAGGGCAAGCCGACCTGGATCCAGCAGCGGAAAGGGGGAAGCCTGGGTGCCGCTGGCCCCGGTGGTACCCGGGCACAGGCGGACCGCAACCTGGTGGACGGCACGGTCCTGGGGAGAGCTCCTCCGAAAACGGACACGGCAGAGGAGATCACCATGGCAGACGTGGTCCCGCTCAACAGGCGGGTGGACATCCGGCAGGAGATCCTGTCCATGGAGGCGGACGACGAGGCGTTGAAGGTCCGGGAATGCCAGGAGATCAAGGTCAAAGTGCAGCGGTCCCTGAAGGAGGCGGAGGCTCAGAGCTTCCAGCTCTACCACCCCCAGGTGGACCAGGCGATCCGGAAGAAGGAGGAGCTGCATAAGGCGGGCGGAGGCACAAGGAGTTGGTCACGGAGGAGATGCTGGACAATGAGATGGCTATCCTGGCGCCTCTCCAGGAGGGCATGCAGGCCCTGCCGTCAGAGGAGGTGGCCAATGAGGGAGCCCGTGCCCTCAGGAAGGTCAACCTGGACCAAGCTGCGAGACCAGTACCTGGAGGGGAAGGGCGTTGACGCCAGCCAGGCACTGGCTGAGGCGATGGGCTCCATTCAGGAGGCTCAGGAGGCGAACAAGCGCACCCAGGACACCAACCAGGCATGGATGCTTAACCACACTCTCAAGCCCTTGGAAGTGTCGGCGTGGCCAGATGATCTCAGGCAGGCACTGGAGAGGGGGCTATTCTGCCCCCTGGAGCTGGATGACCCCGAGGACATCCCCAACGTGGGAGACATCAAGGAGAAGTATGTCCCCTACATCAGGAGGCTCAGAGAGTCGCAGAACCCTATGGCACCAGGAGGCGCTGCTGGAGGAGATGCCCGATCTGGCGACACCGGCCCCCAAGGGTGCCACTGGCCCCGGGGGGGACCAGCCAATGTCACAGCAGGACCTGGACTCGGAGGAGGGCAAGCTGTCCCTGCTCCTCTGGGCGATGAAGAGGCACCAGGGGGAGCTACGGATGTTTGGGGGGATCTGGAAGAAGCACTCAAGCGGTGAGATCCCCAAGGGCGCGGACCAGCAATTCAAGCTCACGCCGGAGGAGCTCCTGGCCCTGGAGCGCAGGACTCACCCACTCACGTGCGAGCAGGACCACATCGACCCAGTCATCTACACGGCCTTGGAGATCCGAGCGCAGGTGAACCGGGGCGAGCGCCCGGCGCCGGAGCAGGTGGTGGGGATCTTCTGGGCAAAAGGTGATGGGGTGTTTTGGACCAGGCAGACGAGAACGTGGGACCTGCCGAGCCTGACGGGGGTGTACGCCCACAGGTTCACTTTCAAGTACATCTACTCGGCCTGGACCACTTTCCCGCTGATCGTGAAGACGCAGCGCCGGGGCCGCAATGCGGAGGGCTCGACCTCGGACAAGTGGATGGGCAACATCCTCCAGATGAGGAAGGAGGCGGTGCCCTTCCTGGAGAGCCTGGGCATCCCCAAGCCGCGCAGCAAGGCGGAATGGAGCTACATCTTCAAGGAGATGGGGACGTTTCTGGCGGCCAAGAATTTCATCGTAACTGCCCGTTGCCGGTGATGGAGATCCCAGTGGCCCCCGTCCACGACAGCAAGGAGGCGCTGCGTTTCAGGGCGGTCTGCGACGAGCGAATCACCCTTCCGCTGTCATCGCTGAGGGCTTTCGACTCGGTCTACACCAAGTTGGTGTCGGGCCTGAGCAAGTCCTCCATGGTGGAGGTGAAGGTCAACTGGCGTTGCAACGTGGTCCACGACTGGGTCGAGCAGGTCCCGCAATAGGCGGCGGGGGCCTTGTACGACAGGTTGGGCTACTCCCAGGACCTCATCCGGCAGCTGGGTTGCTCCCCCCCCTTGGGTGCCTCTGGCCCCAGGGGAGGAGCGGCCAAGGAATCGGACCCCAAGGCCAAGGTTCTGGGGGGGGCGGACACCACGCTCCGCACACCGGACCAGGGCACCAGGCGGTACCCGCCCATCACCACGTCCACGGTCACGGCGGTCGCGGGCCGGAAGTACTTCCCCAAGGAGACGAAGCACGTGTTTTGGGCCTCCGTGGAGTGCGGCCTGGTCTTGCCCAGCATCAGCGCCTGGGAAGTGGTGGGCAAGGAGAAGTTCAAGACCACCGGGGGCTACATGTGCAGGTTTTGCAAGGGCTTCTGGAGGGCGAGCCGCGGGGGGACCAGGCTGCTCCAGATCACGGGGTGGCACAAAGACAAGGCCACATGCTTGCAGCTGGTGATGGACGAGCCCCCGGAGCAGCTATATAATCAGTGGATCCGGGACAGGATGGAGTTCTACAAGAGGGTGGAGCCGACGGAGCCTCCCAGGGACGAGCGGCTAGTCCTGGGCGACGCGAGCACCCCGCGCATGCGCTTCAGCTCCTCGAATGGCCTGGGGGATGTCTCCACTGCCTTGTGGTCGGTCATTTTGAGCAACCCGGAGAAGTCAGGGTTGGCGGCCATCCACTCGGTGGCAAAGGAGGCGATCTTGAAGGGTGAGAGCCGCTAGGTCGTGTCTCACAACCCTTTTGGATGTGGAGTCGTGTGATCTCTTCCCGCCGGGACTTGGGTGCCTCTGGCCCCGTCTCGGGTGGGGGGAGGAGTAAGGGTGTCTCCTTTTGGGTTCTATTTTCACCATGGTTTCCCCCCTGTTCAACACGTCACGACAGCCGGTTTGCCTCGATCTGGAGGCTGCACGCATTGGCTGCCCCAAGGACGGGCCATATCGGCCACAGTTTGGAGAAAGTGGCTGCGGCTGACTCTGGGTTCCATGAGGTCCCCTTGGGGGTTTTGGGGAATCCCCCGTCGGGTTGGTCTTCCCCCCCTCCGTGTTTTTTTTGGGGATTTCCGGGGGTTGATGCATGTGGCCTGCCTGCCCCATTTGCACTCGGCATCCTGCGTGGTCGGAACATGCATGCAGTGTGCCGCGGTTGGGTCCCGGCCGTTCGATAGGAGGCTCGAACCCCCCGTTTTCACCATGGCTAGGGTCTCTACAAAGTTTCTTTTGCGCCCGCCTTACACTCGTCTTTGGGACCGCATTCCAAGGGTCCTGTGGGACACGTTGGCGGATGAGTCCTTCTCCCCGAGACAGACGGACGGGGAGCTGTTGGTCCTGATGTGCCTGCGCCATGGCACGGCGGAGGAGGGGAGGCAGCTGGGCGGGGAGCCGGCCATCCGCTTCGCCCAGCTCCTGGAACTCTCGGGCATTCCGGTAGGCCAAG